TTACATAGTGTGAGGCAAGCTTGAGCTATGGGAGACATTGACCAAAAGCAGTGGTTCTCAACTTTCCTAATGCTGTGACACTTTAATTCATTTCCTCATGATGTGGCCCCCACAACTGTACAACTGTTTTCAGTGCTTCTTCATAACTATAATTTTGTTGGTATTAATTATAATACAGAACCCACAAGTTGAGAACCATTGCTCTGAACTGATACATATTAATGAGTAAACACCACTGAAGATAAAAGTGAAATGAAATTCTTAAGCAAGGAAACAATGGAAAAAATAGAAACAAAGGGATTATGACCGTAATGCATTTAAGGAAAGGAAATTTTAAAAATGTTGTCAATAATTGATTTTTTAAAACAGATAAAATAAACGAAAGTATGCTTAGCTATGCTGACTTTCAAACAATGTAGGCTCTTTCCTAGTAGGGATACTGTCACTAATAAGACATTGTATGAATTTTGTCATATCTAAAATGATAGCTACTGAGTACTGTAGGGTGATTCATGGAGCTACAGCCAATGGCCTGTACCTGAAACCTCTGAGCTGACTTAATTGTATCAAACAGGATGGCATACATATATCTGCATACAAGAGTTGCCTAATTGTAAATTCAATATTCATTTGCTGAAGATAACATTTCCAAGCTGTCTCTGTTCATTCACATGACATGAATTAAAACATGTTGGGAAATTACAAAACATTAGTTACATCACAGTCAAGTCCCTTTTCATGATGGTGACTCCAGCAGTTGATTGCCTTCCCAGTTTCCCCTGCATTGTACACAATACACTACTCCTCTTGTTTTGGTCTGAAGACAGAAGCAATGCTCCACATGCATATTCTTTTCCTATGACTGCTTTGGATAGTTGACTACATGACTCAAATGGACAATTTAAATCTCTGAGGTGGGACAGTCATTTAATTGATGAATTTTGAAGGCGTAATATAGAGATCAGTCAGGTCATTGCCATGGAGAGCAACAGACTGCAATCAAAGCCACTGACATCAACATAAGAGTGCTTGTTTCAGAAACATTTTTTCAAGATGGAAATGCAGCTGCCCTAGAATTAACATGCCTTTCCAGGGAGAAATCACTTTACACACTTAGGAGGTTTATATAGAAAAATCTCTTTATTGATGGTATGCATC